TTTAGGTAGGTGTGGTTGACTCTTAACTTTTATAAAGAATATCTCTTTGGATTTGAGACTTTAGTCTTTGCAACTTTACAGATCTTCTTTATGCACCAAGAGCTTGTAACACTCCAAAGAGAAAGACAAAATTGAAATTGCATCATATGACCCCTTTAATACGTTAATTCAGCAAGGATTCTTTACATTGTTTGAAAGATTTCTAATTCAAATAAAAGATGTTCTTTTGAACTTTTTTTATTCATAAAAAAATCCTGAAAAAATGAATATGGCTTCTACAAAAATATTAATCAGCACAAGTTTTCAACATTGATTATAATATAATTGTTTCTTGAGTACCAAATCAGCATATTAGAATGATTTCTGATGGATCACTGAGGACTGGAGTAATTGTTGCTGAAAATTCAACTTTATTTATATTTAATATAGCTGTAATTTATCATAGGAATAAAATATATTAAAATGAAAAACAGCTATTTTTAATTGTAATATAATATCTCACAATATTATTGTTTTGACTGTATTTTTGATCAAATAACTGCAATCTTGGTGACTTTATAAACTTTGCCAACCTCTAACTTTTGAACAGTAGTATATTACGTTATAAGGTTAGCCATTAGTAATCGAGTCTCTCTCATTTAGCTTGAGAAGAAGCTGAAGGCTGAGATTGAACAGTGGGAACATGAACAGAACGGAGAGTTCCAGGTGAATGGTCAGAAGTTCATGCAGTTTGTTACTGATCAATGGGAGACGTACCGGCTGGAGAAAGAGCGGGAAAAACAGGAGCGGGTATGTATTTGACTTTACTGGGCATAGGAATATACCTGTACTCCAGAGCTGTGAATTAGAATTCAGATTTTATACATTAACCCAAATTTGCTGAGTAGTTTGTATTTATGAATTATGCATTACTAGAGAATGACCAGTTGAAACCATGAAGATTTAATATTGATAGATTTTAATAATACAATAACTGTCGTGCAGCAACTAAAGAAGAGCAAGCAGACAGAGGAGGACATGGTCTATGGCACTGTGATCCGGACACCGACTAAACAAAGATTTCTGGGCAGCACAACACCTTGTAAAGCTCGAAAGGCAAGTACAATAGGATTTTATTTCCTGATGAAGACAGCAGAATTAAAGTCAATGTGAAACCCTGTTCACAGCCCTTTTTACATGTAATGTGTCATATTTCTAAGTGAAAAGAGTATTGCAATATAAAACATGCAAGGCAGGACTTGATTTTATCCATTGGGAATTGATTGGGTTGTGAAAAGTGGGTGTTCATGTTGGTTTTATTCTCATTAAACACCTTGATGCACACATTTTTTACATTTTAAATGAATGCATGGCTGTTTCAGTATTAACTCTTTGGCTTTTCCTCAGCTAAACGCTACCTCCAGTACTGGCACTTCTAACAGCACTATCCGATCTGTCTTTGGTGGTACTGTCTGTCATTCTCCTATATCGCGTCCTCCGATTTTAGAAAGCAAGGTCAGTGCATGCCACGGCCATAACAACACCATTGTTCTCAAGCTTTTAATGAACTAATTTGCCCAATTCTTTACTGATTAACAAAGTTAATGTGTTACTTTTTTCAAAGCAGGGTAATGTGAAGACTCCAGGCCATAGCAAACCTCCTCATCAAGGTTTGCTAGAATGCAATAAGGAGAATATCTGTCATCTAACTGGTGGTGTGGCTGGGATGACGAAGGTAACAGCTAGTCCACAGCGTAACTTCAGCATTAACTCTGTCGCAAGCACCTATTCAGAATTTCAGGTAAACTCGTCTTCATCTTCTCCATCAGTAACTCACAGTCTGGTCAAAGAGAGCAAGAGCTTGAACTGAATTGTGTTTGACAGGAATAGCCTTAGAAACCCAAACATTACAATTTGCTGAAAATGTACTTGCCCTCAGGCCATCCACGATGTAGATGACTTTGTTTCTTTATCAGAACAGATTTGGGAAAAAAAATTGTATTACATCACTTGCTCACCAATGGATCCTCTGCAGTGAATGGGTGCCATCGGAATGAGAGTCCAAACTGCTGATTAAAACATCACAGTAAACCACAAGTAATCCACACGACTCCAGTCCATCAATTAATTTCTTGAAAAAACTGTGATAAATCCATCATTAAGAGGTTTTAAACTCCTCTATCCATAATATTGCTTTCTCCATTTAAAAAGTCATCTTGTCTGAATCCGGAGAGAAATATGCACTCTTTACAAGAGACAACAGTCTCATATCTGTGGTTTTTGATTTGAGAGGACAACAGGGGATGGACTTGAGGGAGCATTATTATGGATTATGGACTTGTATTTTGGCTAGACACCACAGTTTAAAGTTAAACTGTGTAAATGATGGATTTGTTTTTTTTACAACCATGCAGCTTTTCACTTTACAAGACGTTAATTAATGGACTGGAGTGGTGTGGATTATTGTGATGTTTTTATCAGCTGTTTGGACTCTCATTCTGATGGCACCCATTCACTGCAGAGGATCCATTGGTGGGCAAGTATGTAATACTAAATTTTCTCCAAATCTGTTCCCATGAAGAAACAAACTCATCTACATCTTGGATGGCCTAGAAGTGAATGAATTTTCAGCAAATTTTCATTTTTTGGAGTGAACTATTCCGTTAAGTGTATAAGTATGTAAATGCCTATTGAAAAAATATATGATACTGGCATAATGTTATGCTAATAAAAAACTTGTTTCTAAAGGAATTTGTCAAGCCTGAATCCATATAATCAAGGTTTGTTAGAGATTTATTTCCAAACATCCTAAATTTAGCCTATTTAACTGTATGGTTAAACACACTGCTTAAACACACTTTGATTTGCTAACGCTGTTTTGCTTATGTTGTACTGTATAATAAAAGTAACACTTTTATATATTTAGCTAAACACTTTTATAAAGTATGTATGGACAATGCAGTCAGTTGGTAATTATTGATAAATAACCCCTTATGGGTTGATCAAGACTGACAGGGTCCTGTATTACCCTAAAGGGGTTTATTTTGCAGTAATGATAGGCTGACTGTACATTGTTAAATGATTACTGAACTTACCAAATTATATCTAATATACAGTAGTTACAATCTTTTAATTTAAACAGAACAGGCAAGTAGGACATGTTCCATATGATATAATTTTATACAAACAAATAAAGTTTTCATGGACCTCTGAAGGCATTTGTGTTGCATGTATAATATCTGATTAGTTGCGCTTTTATACATCCTCTTGGCCTCTCTTTGAACTGGGCTGTTTTTTTTCCTAATCCACACTTCTAACCAAGACTGTCTCTATTTATTTACAATTCAGTTAATGCCTGACTGCCATTATCTGTCACTCTGTCTTTAATATTTTTAGGCTGTAAATATATCCAGTATATATTATGAGTAACCTCATTTCATATCAGTGTTCAGATACATATTTTTATGTCAAAATGTCTCTTAATCTGTCATTTTCTTGTCACAGCGAGACCTCTCCAAGTCATCTAAATCAAAACATGTACCTGAAATCCTGAACTCAACCATCATTCAGCTTTAACTCTACTGCATGCAACACTTTCTGCTATTAGGACTGGGATCTTTAGATGATGGCTTATGGGTTCTGGGTTCTTGTTCTTTATAGCTTTAGCTATGCATTTTATATGTAAATGAAGGTAATACAGTCTTGTAACACTCCAAAGAGAAAGGAAAAATTGAAATCGTATCATATGACCCCTTTAAGGGAAAAAAGCTGTCCAAACCCACCTGGCCCCCCCTGTTAAATCATTAAAAGAACTGTGATTAACCACATTATTTTAGAAAGCTGAGTTAAATTTCACTAGCCAAACCCAGGCCTGATTACTGCCAGACCTGTTGAATCAAGAAATCACTTAAATAGAACCTGTCTGACAAAGTGAAGCATGCTTAAAGAGCAACACATCATGCTGCGATCTAAAGAAATTCAAGAACAGATGAGAAACAAAATAGTTGACGTATCAATCTGAAAAGGGTTATAAAGCCATTTCTAAGGCTCTGGGACTCCAGCGAACCACGGTCAGAGCCATTATCCACTAATGGAGAAAACTTGATGCGACAAAAGTTGAACTTTTTGAAAGGTGTGTGTCCCATTACATCTGCCATAAAACCAACACAGCATTTCATAAAAAGAACATCATACCAACAGTCAAACATGGTGGTGGTAGTGTGATGTTCTGGGGCTGCTTTGCAGCTTCAGGACCTGGATGACTTGCCATAATTGATGGAACCATGAATTATGCAGCAGAACAATGATCCCAACCACACCAGCAAGTCCACCTCTGAGTAGCTCAAGAAAAACAAAATTAAGGTTTTGGAGTGGCCAAGTCAAAGTCCGTACTTAAATCCGCTTGAGATGATGTGGCATGGCCTTAAACAGTTCATTCATGGTCGAAAACCCTCCAACGTTGCTGAATTAAAACAATTCTGCAAAGAAGAGTGGCCAAAATTCCTCTACAGCGATGTGAAAGACTCATTGCCAGTTATCGCAAACGTTTGATTGCAGTTGTTGCCGCCAAGGGTGGCAAAACCAGTTATTAGTTTTAGGGGGCATTTACTTGTTCCACATAGGGCCAGGCATGTTTGGACAGCTTTTTTCCCCTTAATAAACGAAATCATTATTTCAAAACTGCATTTTGTATTTACTTGGGTTATCTTTGTGTAATATTAAAATTAGTTTGATGATCTGAATCTTTTAAAGGGATAGTTGTGTGAGGCACTTTTTATTATGGATGGATGCGCTTTATTTCACTTCTTTTGGACTGATGAACTTCAACACGGACTGACTGCCATTAAACAGCTTGAAATATCAAAGACAATTTTTAATATAACTCCGATTGGATTCATCTGAAAGAAGAAAGTCATATACACCTAGGATGCCTTGAGGGTGAGTAATTCATGGGCTAATTTTCATTTTTGGGTGAACTAACCCTTTAAGTGTGACAAATGTGCAAAAACTTAAAAAAAAAAAAACAGGAAGGGGGAAAAAACCTTTTCATGGCACTATATATATTTAAATGTCTCTTCTTGGGATTCTACATGTATGTTCATTTTAACACTAGGACAAGCACTGCTTTATATGTACTTGTAATGTAACAAATGAATGTGTATTTTAATGTTACAACTGCTCAGCTGTTCCTAACAAATTAAGACTTAAAAAAAAATTAAGTACTAGTTATTTCTTATTATTGGCAATATTGTCAAAATCACAGTGTGTTTTATTGTTGCTTTTGAATGTTTTGCACAATGTAAAAATAAAATCTTTATTGCATTCTTTATTATATTCTACAATTCACTACATTACAGTATTCTTTTGAACATTCTGTGAGTCCTGTCATTATTTTAGTCAAACTATTTCTACTGTTCCTAATATCTAAGATGTTTGAATCTTGAATTCTGTTTTATTCCAAACAAGTTTCTGTATAATTTATGGCTTTAAACAGTTGTTATATTTCTCAAGCATGTAAATTCGCATCCAGCTGTTGCTCTTATTTAGCAACTTGTTAGCAACTTAAAAAATGGATCGAAATAACGGGTAAATTATATAACGAATATTAATAATGGAGCCACTATAATAGAAGGCTTTAATCTTACTAGGACTTCTGTATTCTACATATCTTTGTTTTTGAGCAGAAAACTGATCAGTTGGAAAAATCATGGTTACTACCCAAAAATATTAAAAAAATAAGATTAAAGATTTTAAGTTTTAAATCTTAAACTACATCTAGATTTTAAGCAACCCTGCTGAAAAAAACCCCATCACTGATATTCTAATGGTTTCCACTACAAATAACATTACAAACCATCAGCTTTTAACTATTAAAACCATTAATTGTTTTCTGTAGTGTGTTTGGGGACATATTCCATTAGGATTTAGGGTTCTAACAAGCCACCAATAGAAGGTGACCAATTACTAGTAGAGACCATAGACTGTAAAAAAGGTAGAGACCCACAGGGTCCATTACAGTTTCCATTTAAACCAATACAAGTCCCATTATAACCAGTAAAAACCATTACAAATTCTGTGATGCTTTCTATTGTTTTTTTTTTTCAGCAGGGAAGTCTGCATTTATAGAAGTAAAAAAGTTAAAAAACCTCAATAAATAAATACAAAGTTTACAAAACTGCAATTTTTTGGGAAAACAATTGTTCGATTCACAGATTTATTTCACTTATAAAGTCTCATGTAATATCGGATATATAAATGCAAATTTACAAATATAAACCCCAACTTTGTGTTGCTAAGTCAATTTAATTGGTACGTTATATTACATAGTGGGTATTGTATTTAATGCCTCCAAAATGTGTGTGATTGAGTTGTACGTATAATTATATACTTGGCATTTATTGACTTTTTTCTACTATGGGTTATTAATTATGTTAAAATATGTTATTGTTCTTTGAGTAAAAATGAAGGGAATAAATTATAGTTGCGTTGACCGTGACTATAACATAGTAGTTTAAAACAAGCGTTTTACGTAAATGGCATAACATTGGTCATTTTTTAAAAATTATTTATTATTGACGTTAATTGGAAAAATAAAATGAGTTTGGCGAATGTTTGGGGGCGGGGTCACTCTGTAACCCGGAAGCAGATTGTGGTGAATGACGCGAACCTTTAGGATTGAATGGATAGACGGTAAAAAGATGGCGGATGACAAGAGCAATAGCATAGGCAATCATTACACTAATAAACGGTTCTGGAGCCCTTCCGTTCGCGGAGCGGCGGTGGTGTTTATCTGTATACTGTTGGCCGAGCCTGCGCGAGCCACCACGCACTGGGTGGTGACAGAGGACGGCAAAATCCAGCAGCAGGTACGCGACTCTGTCGTGTTTAGTCACTCCATCGCTCTCTAGACTATATTTACAAGACAAGATATTAACAGTTGTCAACAGTAGCTTTCTAATCTGATTGTTACTCACTAACACTGCTTTATACAGCTGTCAGACAGATGCGTGTGTCGATCTCATGTGTTGACAGCTGTTGTCTGCTGCTTATCACGATATAACAGCGCACTAGTGTGTAGTGATTCAATAATACTGTCCAGATCATCAGCCTGATTTGGCTTCTTGATGTCTAATAATCTCTGACCTAATATCTGTCCGATAGTGACTCTTGCTGAAAGCATGTGTGCGGCATTGATTTTGCCTTTGCCTTTTTCATGCTCCCCTTCCTTTTCAGGTGGATTCTCCTCTTAACTTGAAACATCCCCACCATTTAGTTCTTTTCATGCAACAAGAGACTCGTGTGAACTACCTCAAGAAGTTAGAGGTGATGTTGAGCCTCACATTCATCATAACCTAAAAGGGTCTTTTACAATGTACTTTGTCTTGAAGAAGGCAGCTCTAGAAGTAAAGGTATGCTTCCCTAATCGCTTGTCTGACAGTGAGTTATTGTACATTTTGCAGAAACAGCTAGTTGCTCAGAAGATTCACATTGAAGAGAACGAGGACCGGGATACTGGTTTAGAGCAGCGACATTATAAAGAGGATGCTGACTGTGTCACAGCTAAAGTTCCTCTGGGAGACTTGGATCTCTATGATGGCACTTTTATATCCCTGGAGAGCAAAGACATAAAGTAAGTGGTGTTTGCTTGTGTTTTTATGTAATTATTTTAATTGTTATTATCAAATACGTCATTATGGTTTTATTGTTGCGGTTTTCTAGTCCAGAGGATTTTTTGGATCAGATATCACCTCTACCTCCAGACCTGGAAAAACCTGACTGCGCTAAAATTCTGGATCTCCCTTATAGCATTCATGCATTTCAGCACCTCAGGGTGAGTGTTTTGAGTGTTTTAAGCTTTACCCATAGATACACTACTGGTTAAAAGGTTTTATAAGAAGACTTTTATGCTCATCAAGCCTGCATTTATTTGATTTTAAAAATACAGTAAAAACAGTAATATTGTGAAATGTTATTACAATTTAAACTATTTTCTATTTTAATATATTTTAAAATGTAATTTATTCCTGTAGTAAAGCTGAATTTTCAGCAGACATTACTCCAGTCTTCAGTGTCACACGATCTTTCAGAAATCATTCTAATATACTGATTTATATACATTTATTATTCAATAAAAGCAGCTTTGATGAACATATAAACTTCTTTCAAAAACATTAAAGATATCATAATTATTCAAAATATTTCACAGGAAAATGTAGGAGTTGGGGACTTGGTTCAATGCATTGTTGATTGGAATGTGAGATGTGGGCATAGCATTTAAAAATGGAGTCAAATGAATGTGAGCTTGCAGTGTAGGGTTTACACTTTTTAGACTAAATGTTTATGAAGTCTGTTGTTTTCTCTAGAAGGTCCAGTTATGTAATTTTGTTTTAACATTATGTGATCAACAAATGAAACAATTTTTTAACATTAAGATCTATAAGATGCATTTAGAAAATACAAAGGTGAATTTTCATTTTATGCCAACTTTACTCTCGAGCATGGGCTTATTGTCTTCTTGCTCATTGTTTTTTTTCCCTCTCAGGGTGTACAGGAGAAGGTAAACTTAACATCACCCTTGCTTTCAAAGGATGACCCAATCTTTACCTCCCTGTCTCTTAAGCTGGGACAGAGTGTGGATGAGATTGGGCATCGGATACACCAGGCCCTTCTAAAAGTAAGTTGATTTGCTTGATTTCTAAAGTTCAGGGTTCTCACCTGAAATGTTGCAGTTGTGATTTCTAGGCTGGAAAAGTAGTATTTTCTATAGTGACTGGAAATCTTTGTAGTTATGTTCTCCTAATATAAGATTATTGTGCTTCATAAGATGAAACCCAGCATTAAAATGCACAATAAGGAACATTTTTAGCTTTGAGTCACAAAGGCGTCTTTGTCAAAATCAAAGCTAATAAATATTTTTTAAGACGCATAAAAAATTATTTATTATTGACGTTAATTGGAAAAATAAAATGAGTTTGGCGAATGTTTGGGGGCGGGGTCACTCTGTAACCCGGAAGCAGATTGTGGTGAATGACGCGAACCTTTAGGATTGAATGGATAGACGGTAAAAAGATGGCGGATGACAAGAGCAATAGCATAGGCAATCATTACACTAATAAACGGTTCTGGAGCCCTTCCGTTCGCGGAGCGGCGGTGGTGTTTATCTGTATACTGTTGGCCGAGCCTGCGCGAGCCACCACGCACTGGGTGGTGACAGAGGACGGCAAAATCCAGCAGCAGGTACGCGACTCTGTCGTGTTTAGTCACTCCATCGCTCTCTAGACTATATTTACAAGACAAGATATTAACAGTTGTCAACAGTAGCTTTCTAATCTGATTGTTACTCACTAACACTGCTTTATACAGCTGTCAGACAGATGCGTGTGTCGATCTCATGTGTTGACAGCTGTTGTCTGCTGCTTATCACGATATAACAGCGCACTAGTGTGTAGTGATTCAATAATACTGTCCAGATCATCAGCCTGATTTGGCTTCTTGATGTCTAATAATCTCTGACCTAATATCTGTCCGATAGTGACTCTTGCTGAAAGCATGTGTGCGGCATTGATTTTGCCTTTGCCTTTTTCATGCTCCCCTTCCTTTTCAGGTGGATTCTCCTCTTAACTTGAAACATCCCCACCATTTAGTTCTTTTCATGCAACAAGAGACTCGTGTGAACTACCTCAAGAAGTTAGAGGTGATGTTGAGCCTCACATTCATCATAACCTAAAAGGGTCTTTTACAATGTACTTTGTCTTGAAGAAGGCAGCTCTAGAAGTAAAGGTATGCTTCCCTAATCGCTTGTCTGACAGTGAGTTATTGTACATTTTGCAGAAACAGCTAGTTGCTCAGAAGATTCACATTGAAGAGAACGAGGACCGGGATACTGGTTTAGAGCAGCGACATTATAAAGAGGATGCTGACTGTGTCACAGCTAAAGTTCCTCTGGGAGACTTGGATCTCTATGATGGCACTTTTATATCCCTGGAGAGCAAAGACATAAAGTAAGTGGTGTTTGCTTGTGTTTTTATGTAATTATTTTAATTGTTATTATCAAATACGTCATTATGGTTTTATTGTTGCGGTTTTCTAGTCCAGAGGATTTTTTGGATCAGATATCACCTCTACCTCCAGACCTGGAAAAACCTGACTGCGCTAAAATTCTGGATCTCCCTTATAGCATTCATGCATTTCAGCACCTCAGGGTGAGTGTTTTGAGTGTTTTAAGCTTTACCCATAGATACACTACTGGTTAAAAGGTTTTATAAGAAGACTTTTATGCTCATCAAGCCTGCATTTATTTGATTTTAAAAATACAGTAAAAACAGTAATATTGTGAAATGTTATTACAATTTAAACTATTTTCTATTTTAATATATTTTAAAATGTAATTTATTCCTGTAGTAAAGCTGAATTTTCAGCAGACATTACTCCAGTCTTCAGTGTCACACGATCTTTCAGAAATCATTCTAATATACTGATTTATATACATTTATTATTCAATAAAAGCAGCTTTGATGAACATATAAACTTCTTTCAAAAACATTAAAGATATCATAATTATTCAAAATATTTCACAGGAAAATGTAGGAGTTGGGGACTTGGTTCAATGCATTGTTGATTGGAATGTGAGATGTGGGCATAGCATTTAAAAATGGAGTCAAATGAATGTGAGCTTGCAGTGTAGGGTTTACACTTTTTAGACTAAATGTTTATGAAGTCTGTTGTTTTCTCTAGAAGGTCCAGTTATGTAATTTTGTTTTAACATTATGTGATCAACAAATGAAACAATTTTTTAACATTAAGATCTATAAGATGCATTTAGAAAATACAAAGGTGAATTTTCATTTTATGCCAACTTTACTCTCGAGCATGGGCTTATTGTCTTCTTGCTCATTGTTTTTTTTCCCTCTCAGGGTGTACAGGAGAAGGTAAACTTAACATCACCCTTGCTTTCAAAGGATGACCCAATCTTTACCTCCCTGTCTCTTAAGCTGGGACAGAGTGTGGATGAGATTGGGCATCGGATACACCAGGCCCTTCTAAAAGTAAGTTGATTTGCTTGATTTCTAAAGTTCAGGGTTCTCACCTGAAATGTTGCAGTTGTGATTTCTAGGCTGGAAAAGTAGTATTTTCTATAGTGACTGGAAATCTTTGTAGTTATGTTCTCCTAATATAAGATTATTGTGCTTCATAAGATGAAACCCAGCATTAAAATGCACAATAAGGAACATTTTTAGCTTTGAGTCACAAAGGCGTCTTTGTCAAAATCAAAGCTAATAAATATTTTTTAAGACGCATAAAGTGTTTTACTTTGTGCATCTTTGCTTAGAAAGCCGAGTCCTTCTTCTAACCACAGTAAATGTCAGGAATTTTTAAGGTTGCATGATATTTTTTTCCTTTATGGTTCAGTTTTTCCTCTAAGTTGCCGTTTTTAAAGGCTTGTAGATAATAACAGAAGTCAGCTGAAATTGTAATTTCTCAAGATTAATGATGACTGTCTTTTTCTCACTTTCTAAGAATTCCTCTTCATGGGTGCTTTATAACTTGGCCTCCTTCTACTGGCGGATGAAGAATGAACCCAGGCGAGCTGTGGACTGTGTGGTCCGTGCCCTCCATTTTTCTCCAAGGTAAAGTGAAATGGCACATTGATACAAATGGCAGATGTATAGTGGGCATAGCTTATCAACAGTGAAATCAGTGTTTCGTCACCTGCGCGAAGCCTTGCATACGTTGTTTTACATAAATTTGCATGTACTTCCTCTCTTTTTGCAGGCAGCACAAAGATGTTGCTCTCATCAATATGGCAAACATACTTCACAGAGCACACTTCTCGGCTGACGCCGCCATTCTCGCCCACGCTGCTCTGGATCTCACTACCGATCTCCTAACCAGCCATTACACCCTGGGCAACATTTACGCTGTGAGTGCAGCATTTTGAAGAAGAGGGATAGTTTCTGAAAATACCATTTTTAAATGTTTTTGAACGTCCTCATAATCCTCTGTGCACATGCACTTTCTACTGGACAGGAAATGGCAGTTTTTCTTTAGTATCTGATTTCCTTGTTTGTATCAAATGACACTCACTTCCTTGTTGCATCTCTCTCCCTTCCTCCTGTCTCTCTGGTAGATGTTGGGGGAGTATAATCACTCCGTGCTGTGCTATGAGCAGGCCCTGCAGGCTCAGCCGGGCTTTGAGCAGGCCCCGAGGAGGAAACATGCCGTCCTCTGTCAGCAGAAGCTGGAGCAGCGGCTTGAGGCTCAACATCGGTAACACAGACTATTTGTTTTCTTATTGACTGCTGTGACTTTGACTCTCTTTTTCTGTGCAATTACTCTTGAGTCTCATTAAGAAAACCATCTGAGTATTAGGCTTGCCGCGATAGATGTTGCTGACGGTGATACCGGTGTTAAGCCGCAACACCGGTTACGTCACTTGCCCACCACGTCACCGAGCACCACCGTCGTTTTGATTTTTTATAGTAATAAAAATCATTTAGTTCAGTAAAAGAACAGACACTACAATTAAAAACTGAACGCGGCTGCTCAATGCAG